TAAGGAATGGGGCCCTAAAAAAAGCCAACCACTGTGTACGTAGTGGAGGCAAATCACATGATCACAAAATATCATATAAACTAGTATCATAGTCTTCTCATCCTAATCACCGATACGTGTCATACATATGCAGTAATACTAGTACAAGCATGCTTAAAAGAATTTAGAGTATCACGTGAATTGTTAAGAATGAATTACAAGCATGCCTGAAAGAAATAAACTACTTATGATTTCATTTCACATATATACACATATACAACATGCTCAACTTGATTTAAATAACAATGATGAATAATACATTGATATTCATTTCTCTTACCATTTGTAGCCTCAATAAGTTGTAGACCAAATAGAATTTTATATACTCATACCTATATAGTCAATTAAACAAACAATTTGCATACACATGAAAAATCCCAAGTTACCTATCCTCCTTCAATTTACAAGCTAAGTGATCAAATTAGCGAATCCAAGCAGTTAGATCTCTTAGTGAGAGTCTACAAAAATCACACATATATGAAAACATTAATTTATAATTTGAAACTACTGAATTTATGTTACATACTAAAAAAATTAAAAAAAAATTTGTAATTAAAACAAATATATATGGAAATAAAAAAAATTTTATTGTTATTAAATTAAGTTAAGAAAAAAAAAACCAACCTTTCCCCTGAATTCGGCGGGAAAGCTTAGGTCATTTAATGAAGAATGAAGAAAAATTGGAGAGGGGTAGTTAGAAGATGGAGGGAGATAGAATAAAAGAGAGAGTGGGAGATAGAAAATGAGAGTGAGAGGTAGAGAGAAAAATCAAGAGAGTGAGTGAGAATTTTTACAAAGTACATACTGTCTGAAAGATAAGAAAATTTAGGAATCATTTTTATCAAATTTTCTTCATACATATTTCCCATATATTTAGAATTTTATATTGATAGTATTATTATAATGTTTAGAGAAAATTTTGCGATTTGAGTATGGACTAAGTAGTGAGTTTTGACAATATATGACAGTAGAAATTTAAAGATACATTATTAATGCATTTTAATCAATTTATATTTGTTCTTTGATTATTTTGAGAATTTTAAATTAAGATTTTAGTTGAAAAATTTATTATTCAAGACATATAGAATGTTTTTCCCAATTAAATTGAAGTTAAATAACTGATTTGGGTTATTTAATATATTATTGAGGTTTCTATCAGTTTGAATGTTAAATAGGTTAAAGATATATTGTTGAAATAATTTTTTTTAAGCTTGAAAATTAAATTATAAATTATAAATTTTCTGAAAATAAATAAAGTTAAAGTTTATTTATAATTTAAAGGAGTTGTTTGGGTTCAAGATAAATTTTAAATGAGGCTAAAATAAATAATTGAAATTTTAATGTGAAATATTTTGACTTTGGGTAATAGATATATATACTAAAGTTATTAAATTTAAATATTGTCTTGTATGAAAAATTTTATTCCCAAATAATATTATATCTACTATAAATAGCTAGATTTGTGAGAGTTAATATATTTTTGTAATTTTAGTTTAGAGGGTAGTCTTAGAATTTTAGAGCATTTTATAATAGTTTTGAGTTTTATATTAATAAATATTTGTGTGCAATTTTATAGACTTTTGTTGAGAATTTTGGAGTATTTTGATTATTTGTAAGCTAAAAAGTAATAGGCAACTCTGAAAATTCTTTCATGTACATGTGAATTATGTATGACTATATTATGGATTTCCTAGTTTTTATTATATCATATTGAAATGATTGTTTATATCATGGGTTTTCAAATAAATGTTCTAATAGATTAGTTTATTTTTGTAAAGATTTATTACTATTAATTATGATCAATGTTTAAATATATTAATAGTTTTTTAATTATGATGAGTTGCTATTAAATTGTTAAGACTCTTGTTAAGATGAGAAAATCTCATTTCAAACTCTCTGATGCTTTCTCCTTCATTCATCCTTATTAGCTCATATTCTGGTGTGAGCGTGTTGACGTTGGCTTTGCTTCCCTCCAGTGGTTCCTTCATAAGCCACTTCTAAAGCATCCCAAACTTTTTTCGCTTTTTGAAGATTTGACACTCTGAAGTACTCTTTTGAATCAAACACATTGGTAAGTATATGGAGTGCTTTGTTGTTAAACTGTACCATCTTTAGATCAGCTTCGGTATACTCATTTAGCTACTTTGAGACTCTAGGTCCTTCCATTATTTTCATTGGAACATAATTACCATTTTAGACCACATTCCATATTTCTAGTCTAGCTGCTCTAATGAAGTTTTTGATCTTCATTTTTCACAATGAGTAATTTTCTCCATTAAAACTAGGAGGTTTAGTGATGGAACCTATTTCAGGTAAAACACATTCTCCATAACTAGCCATATGGTCTTTTCACTTGAAACGACTAGATTCCTGTAGATAAAGTAAGTTACTCTAATACCAAATGTTAGTATGACTGAATGCCTAAGAGGGGGTGAATTAGATATTAAGCAAATTATGAACAATAAAACAATAAAACACAATTAACATAAATAAAGCAGAATAGAAATGATATTACCTATCGCTTGAAGGAAGAGTAGGAGAAAATACACAATGGATTTATACTGTTTCGGTTCAACCTAACCTATATCTAGTCCTCATGCTTTACGTGAGAATTTCACTATATTTCTAAGATTCAATAAGCTCCTAGTGCCATAGTATAATACTCACCTCTATGCCAAAAGCAACACCTAAGGCAAAAGATTAACTTGGATAAATAACAAGGCTTTTTTGACTTGGTTAGTATTTTGAACTTATGTGAGTCAAATACTCAGTATTAGTGAAAACATTTAAAAACTTATGAACTAATTAAACAACTCTTTGAAAAATGTTTAACGGTAATAACTTTTTGAAAACATTCCATTCATCACTTAGATTAATTAAGTTTCCTACAAAAACAAATTCTTCTCTAATTTTGTTATCATCAAAAGATTGGATTTAACATGTATATACAAAAATAGATAAAATTCATAATAAACATATGGGGGAAGAGTTAGCAACCTGACGTCTATTGAAGAGAAGATGTTGAAGTGGTTTGGACATATATGAAAAGAAGGTCATTGGAAGCATTGGCGAAGAGATATATATCAGACAGTATAGAAAGCCATTTGAAAAAAAAAACAAAAAAGATAAAAATTGAAAACAACACTCAATAAAATTATGAGAGAATCCTAATTAAATCCAACTGAAATATTAAAATCCAAATTTAGGCCTACGCATTTAACAAATTTGGCCTAATTAAGAAAATTTTAATGTTGTTAAAAGACTAGAATACCTTTTTATAGTTAAAAAATATTGAAAGCCGATGTGGACTTGATTTTGATTTTTATTATTTTAATTCAAATTAATTGAGATTTAATTGTAAATTTTTATAGATATAGATAAGTCATTTTTGGGCAAATTGGCGTCTGCCCCAGTCAATTTATTTTTCCATCCATCCAATCAAAAGAAGGGAAATTTATTTAGTATACTAATAAATTCATATTAATTACTAGTATGCGTTTCTTTTCGTAATTAGATTATAAGTGTTGGAAAAAATAATGAGATTATAAGATATAGCATTATGGAAACGTAGCAAATCACCTAAGAAATAAATGACAAATTTGATGCCAAAATCTACTGAATTTTTTTTAAAAAAATTAATGTCCTATTTTTTTAACTAAAAGAAACAAATTGTCGTTCAAAACATTATTAATTGAGTAGTCTTTGAATCAAGTAAAAGGTCTTCGTTCCCATAAATTTGTCGTCAATATATTAGAGTCAGAAGAGAATACATGCTTGCGTGTACAAATATAGAGACGCAAATGTAAAGATAATTAACGCTTAGTAAATTTGAAAATAAGCAACTAGAGAAAATGCATATTTGTCGGAGCAGATCCTATTACGAAGAATTAAAATTAAAATAGAACTTGAAATAATAATGTAAAATGCCGCAGAATTCTGAAACTTTTCTACCTCACAAATCTGATTCAAGAACGTGTAGGACAAAACTATCTTTATAAATAAAACTTTTTATAAAAGAGTTAAGGTGAAAATTTACTCATGAAGTTTTTTTGCCAGAGGCACCAAGCCCCATGAACTCTTTTACATAAAATTTTTAAATGGTGCAAAATACCATGGCCTTTAAGTCAATTAATGTTGACTATTTAATAAACATGTCAATCAAGAAAATGGTGCAAAAATATATCTTAACTTTTGAAAATGGTTAAAAAACACACATGAAGCTTCTAATGAACATAGTATTTTTGCACCATTTTAAGAACTTGATATGCATTTTTGCACATTTTCTTGACCTATATGTTTGCTAAAAAGTCAATGTTAGTTGACTTAACGAGCATGATATTTTTGCATTATTTTAGAAACTTCTTGTATACTTATGCACTCAAAAAAAGTTTATGATGTTAGGTGCCCGTTACGAAATACTTCATGAGTAAATTTGCCCTTTAACCCTTTTATAGATAAATATTATATAATGCCAGGTTCTCATGGTTTATTTTATAAAAAATATTATCTTTTTAATTATGAAGGGACATTTTCGTTTTCTTAACAATATTCATAAATCTCTAATTAGGCATCTTGACCTGATTAAAAGTTTCTTAAAAGTGTAGGCCTTAATTTGAATTTTGGCATTTCAACTAAATTTAGTTAGAATTTTCCCTAAAATATAAACATATCTTTTCATTAACAATATAATCAAATATTTAACTCTCCATAGAATACAATGATACGAGGTGACCCATATAGCTGACCATTTAATGGGATATACTTCCAGTTTTATAAGTGATTTCCATTCTTACAGATTTTCTATTAATTTGTAAAATTTTTGTTGATCGTTATCTCAGCAGGTCCTGCACTTGTAGAGCTTTTGGGGGATTTGTGACGCGAGCAACACACCATCCAACAATCAAGAATACATCCGTGCATTATCAAAGGCATGGCCAAGTAAACAAACATGCTATACTAAACCTGTTGCATTATCAAAGATAAACCACTAAACCTGTTGCAAAAGTAAACTGAATACAACAACACTAAAAGATACAAAGAAGAAAAAATCAGCACTAATTTTCCCTCCCTCACTGCATGTAACATTGCTTCCGCTGTAACATCCTATCCTTTGCTTGATCCCTGCACCGCGATTTTCAAGCTCAAATGTGGAATTTGTGAGGCCATCACTGAACAAAATGCACCAAAAGAATGATCCTTTATGGACTCCAACCATGCCTGCTCCAACCTCAGTATGTGATTTATTCCTCAGCAGAGACAAAGATTTGTTGTTTTTAAAAAGAATGTTGGAGAAAGCTAATGGTGGCTCTACATACTTCCTTTGACAGCCTACTATTTGCCCGGTAATGGTGCCGAAAGTGGGGAGCTCTACGCCGCAATTGGGAGCGAATACTTCAGTGAAATCATCTTCTGATGGCTTGCAGGTCACCAAATTGTTCTCTGTGCAGTTCCATTTGCATAGCTCCACATACTGTAAGGCCATGCACCCAAGACCGGGACTGTCATTTAGCCTTGGGAGCTTGTGAGCTGTTCGGTTCTCGTTGATGATGGTGACAAGATCATTTGCTGGGTTTCCTACATGACAGATCATAACAAGTTAACGAGGTTGCTTCGATTGTCACGTATGGCATGAATCACACTTGAGACTTGAGAGAAAATTTGGTTTCTCGGAATCTTTCATTCCTTGGAATGTCATTCCAAAAAAATATGAAATTTTCAAGGTTTGTCTATAACAAATATTCTTGAGACTATTTTGCTACATTCTTGGAAATCGAACATTCTTGTGTTTGGCTCATTCAACATTCCATGTAGCCGAAGGCTTGTTGTATAGCTTATCAAAGACATATTACTAGCACAATGTAAGATCTAAAAGCAGTTACCCCAACTCTAAAAGCAGTGTTTATCAAGTTTCATTTCCATATTTGTTATATCTCCAGAAGCACATTCAAATACTTAATTTTCTTATTATTAGAGAATAGCCAATCCTCTAATTTCAAAATAATACCAAGCGCAAGCCTTAAATTCAGACAATTAGAAAATGACATTAATCAAACCCGGGAGCCATCAAGCACGTCCAATCAATTGTTGACATCTGTTTTTCTCAGAACCAGATTCATCAAACAGTAATTTTCTTCTAAAACAAGCGTTGGAACCATTTTTTACGCAAGTATGACTTCTGCTATTCATTTCCACAATTCCAAGATGCGATAACAATTATCTTTAATGGTACATAAAAGATTTCAACTCAGTTCTAGAGTACAGGGTTTATTTTTTGTGGTTGATAAGAGTAACCCTCCCCTGTTCAACAACCATGCCTTTGGCTTGTCTGTTCTTCGAAAGGAAAAAGCAAGTCAAACGTCCCCTTATGAGGTTGCTTAGACCTAAACATTTTCTCTAATCACATTTCCAATGAAGTTCATTGCTCTGGGAAGCAAATAATTTGTTTAAACTAATTTTCTAAAGGATTCTCAGTCAGGGTTAATTATTTTTAGCAAAGCTTGAATGATTGAAAATATTTCAAATTATGTTACAAAATTTTTTTTGAATTAATTTAAAAGACAAACCCAGACAAGTGCCTCCTTATGAGGTTGCTTATCCCTAAAATCCTTTCTGTAATCACAATTTCAATCAAATTCATTGTTCAGAAAAGCAAATAATTTGTTTAAATTAATTTTTTAAAGAACTATCTGTTTTCAGCAAAGCTTGTTATAATTGAAACTATTTTGCTTCATGTTGGAAGAATGTTCCATTTACTAAAATTATGGTCACAACTTCCAGTTGATTTGATGCACGTACTTGTTATTCTTTTCAATGCACCAATTACACTGAACAACTCACTTTTGCTGAGCTTTTTGCGAAGAGAAGACAAATCTTCTCCGTAACTTCTCACAGAAAGATGAGGCAGGAAACCCAGAGACTTTATTGTTAGGATCAGGGAGAGAATCAGAGACAAGCGATATTTACTATAGCTTATTTCTTTATTCGACTTTAAGAGAAAATATATAAATAGGTTTGGCACTATCTCCTGGCAAAAAATCTTAAAACTTCAGAACTAATGAACTATTGGTCTTTCCCATATATATTTTTCTAGTTCAATCCTATCCAATGTCAGAATTTTTCTCACACGTCACTCACCTTTACCAAAATATGCACGCCTTGTTCACCCTCTAACAAATCGAATCACTATGTCTTGCATCATCAAGAGAAGATGACTCCTGAAAATAAGGTTTGTTGGGCCAACTGCTTCCGTTTGTTTACCATGCAATGTTACAAACTAATTGAGGAAGCCCATCCCATAACCTTCCTCTCTAAAGTTTGGAAACATAGAAGGAACCAGCATATCATCGAAGATTCAAATGCTAGTTTTGGTGAAATTTTGTTAAAGTGAACAATCTTTTTATGCAAAGCAAAAATACAGCTGTTTTTCTCCAAATGCTTCAGCATGTCATTAATTGGTCAAATGCAACAAATACAGCTTAGTCAAGGAAACCAAATTTTGTACTCAATGAGCGCATTAGTTTACAAAGACAATGGTGACAGACTACAGGAAAAATAGCTGGAAATATGCTGCAAATCCTACCAAACGTTATATACAATGATTTAGAAGTCCAAGATGCAAAAGCATTCCTTATGAATCATAGGGAAGACAAAGAAAAATCATATTTATTTGAAAAGCACACAGATATAGCTTCCTGACCTCATGAACTAACTAACTTGGCTGAAAGGCATTGAATTTCTTCATCTGTTACATTTGGCAAGCATTGAAAATAAATTTGTTAATTATCAGAAATAGAACACCATTTTTTCTAAGGGTCCCCTGGATTAACATGTTAGAGGAACTTTGAGAGAACTAATGGCTAAGAGTCCCAAAAGTACAATGTTTGTTGAGTGTCAAGAGTACTTCATATGCTATCCCTAAAAGTAGCTTCAAAGCAGAATATGAAAGCTGTTGATGGGACGAGACGGGACCGGGATGAACAGGGATAGGACAGGAAATCTGTCTTGTGTCCCATCCCGTACCAGTGTTGTCTCGGCCCTGGTCAAGATAGGATGGGATCAGGACGTCCCTTTTTTCTTTTTCTTTTTTTGCCTTATGGTTAGGCCTATTGCAGTGGATTTTGATTTTTTGGGCTTAGCCTTTTTGAAAGTATCTTTTTGTTTTCTTTTTTATTTCTTTGGGCTTAGCCCTCTTAAACAAAAGCCCAAATAAATAATAATTAGTAATATAATAACTCCAAAATTCATTTTCACCATTCCAAAAATCATAATGAACTATAAAAGTTCTAAATAAATAATAACCACTCAACTATATATTTTCTGAAAACTACAAATATAAACATTTTGTATTACACATGGTTTAAACATTTTGTATTTTTAACATTTAATGATTATAATATGATAAAAAAATAAAATAATATTACTATCAGAACGGGACCGGGACCGGACGACCCTGTTCCGGTCCCATTTTTTGTCCCGTCTCGAAAAATTTCGAGACAGACCTAGTATGGTCGGGACCGAGACGGGCCTATTTTGAACACCCTTAATATGTAGCCTTGTGTGTCAAAGTAGATATGGTGTTGTCATTAAGCAAGCAATGGAAATGGATTATAAGGTTATGCTTTCTAAAATCAAAATTGCAAGCCTTTGGTATCGGGTTAATAACATGCACTTGACAAAAAGCAGCAAGAGAGTGGATCTTTGGTTATCCATGTAAATATCATTATATATGAAGAAGCTAAAACAAGGAGGAATGGTCAAATGCAGAATGCCCCAAGTTAAAGATATGGTTAAAACATCCAGATGCCAAAGGTCATCTTCCGAGTAGTCCAAGGCTTTAATTTGTCAAAGATGGTATTCCTATTAACAGTTGATTTAACTAATTTGGAAACAGCAAAACCTTGTTGGAGGCTTTGCAGCTATTCTATTATACCCATTACTTTGAAACCTAAAGGTGAAGCCTTTGCAAGAAAGTAGCATATAAACAAGTTCCTTTGAACAATACAATAAGTGCAGATGAAAATGCTGCTACATTGTCAACTGATTATATATCTAACTCCAATTATTGAGAAGAGCAACAGGAACAGGAAACATACTAAAATTTCCAAGCTTCAACAACAGGAATAAATCAAACTAACGGTCCTAAGTGATAGTTAATTTTGCAACCATCCTTTAAATATTATGAGGGGACAACGGATGCAACTTTCTAGAAAGAGCAAGTCTCAAGAATGGAATATATACTCATCATTAAAAAAAAAACACATGCCACCCTCTTATTAGAATCTGAAAAGCTAACCCTTAATTCTAAGGCCACAACAGCCACAATGTGCAAATGCAGCTTAATAACAGCATTTTAGCGTTCTTTAACGCACACATTTTGCGCTAACTATTTTAACTACTAAATCAATTTGACACGAAAATTCACAAATTTCAGCCAGCATTACATAGATACCAGATAAATGTAAAATGCGCCCCCGCGCGCTCGGCTAGAGTAATTCAAATATACTATCAGAACAACCTAGTAGAACCTCCCATTAAGAAGAACACAAACATAGACAAATTAAGGGTTTTTATGTAACAAGCGACAGGGACAGCTCAAGATATCAAAAGATTGATGGAAAAGAAAAGACAATGGAGGTACCATGATGCTTGGAGTAAACAAGAGCAGCCCACAACAGAAAACAGAAAATGTAAAGCTCATAGCAGCATAGTTTCTTCATTGTCATCATTTCCACAGGTCACGAAATGGGGACTTGAGCTTTGAAGATCTACCAGGAAAATGAGACAAAAGGCAAAAGAAATGGGAAGGCGAAAGGAAAGGGGCAACCTAGTTTGTGAGAGAGAGGTACTCAAACCAACGCGATAAGAAAGAAGGGGGAAATGGAAAGAAACAAGATCGAATATTGATGAAAAGGGGCTAAAGGAAAGGTGGAAAGTGCTTGATTGGAGATGGTGCTGCAAAAAGCAGGGACAAAAGTTCCATGCTCGTGGTCCCCAGTAGCCGCTATGTCCTGATGAAAAACATAATAGACTGCTAATTTCAAAAATAAAATCTGGAATGTTGGACCCAAAAACAAATTTCAAAATCACCAATTCAGTGGTCCCATCGTCACGGAATATGCTCCAAGACACAAGTTTAGGTTTACTTAAGGTGTTTAAATGAAAACCAAATCAAATTTTAAAAATGATTTTACGTTATGCGAAATACATGTATGAAAGAATTTGTTTCAATTTATGAAAAAATACTTTTTAAAAATAGTTTTGAATGATCCAAACACTTTTTTAGTGGCAAAATAAATGAAAGCCAGGTTGTAGTGTCAAGTTAACTTGCAGTGCCCAAGAGGCTTGATTGATCAACTTACCAAAGCATAATGCTATACTGTTTTTTTTTTTTGTTGCTAAAGTATAGGTATTCTTCTATTGGAGGCAATCCTATTCGAGACATTGTCGGGTACTAAATGTGGACACCTATCCCAGTGGGGATTCGAACCTTGGTTTGCCACATTGTAAGGAACTAGCCTCTTTTGCTAGATCCAACCGACATTGGTGAATGCTATACTATTAGCAGCCTTTTAATGATGTGAATATGTGAGCTTCTGGACTTCATATGGGACATGAGGACCAAGCATATAAGAAGGGATATCAATCGAGTTGCTGGCTCTCTAGCAGATGCCGCTATGGTGAAGAGACAATTATCTCGCTTGGAAACATATCTGGGCGGCATTAAATATACGACGGGGTTACCAGATATTGTAACAAATGAATCTCTACTTCTTTAACAATTGATGTGTGCCCTACCGATATAAGGGATCTTGTGCAGAAAGAGTACTTGGAATCTAATCTCCTTTCTATTTAGTTTTTATTTGGGCTTCGCCCTTTTTTGTATTAAAAAAAAAGGTTTACTCTTCTAAAATAAATAAGGGAAAATGACAAATGAAGAAGGCTAAAATTAGGATATCTCAATTTAGAAAGCTAAGGGTCGGAAATGACAGAGAATGAAGTTATTCCCAAATTGAAATTTTGAAATTAATGAGAAATTAAAAAAATGCCCCTTTGTTTTGGTTTTTTTTTAAATGGTTCGACCCCTTACCTGCAATAGGCCACTGCTAGCCACTGTTATGGTGGCTGTTGGTCTAAATTTTTTTGTGACAGTTTTTTTTTGGTCATGTGAGAAATCTTCTACTTATAGTATGAAATCTCGTGATGCCTGAATGAGGGAAAATAGGTTCTGGGGGTTTGCAGGTTAGTGTTTAGTGGTCCAGTAACACGTTATTGGGCTGCCCAGTGATCCAAATCCAAGCAACTCTTCCACCTCCCCCTCCTAGCGATTTCCTTAGTCTCCTTAAACCAAATCTGAAGCCTAACAATCATCAGATATTGTCAAGTTTCAACCATTGTCAGCCACCATCTTGACACGATAAGCCATGAGATATGGGAGGGGATTTCGAATTCGAAGTCCAAGCCAGATAAAGAAGGGAAGTCACAGTTCTTCTTAGTTCTTAGAGATCGCAAGGGTGTCATTGCCGGCCGTGAAGCTTTCTCGACAATGTGTGAAGATTGAATTGTGAGAAGGCGGAAGGGGCAAAATGGGCTCCATGTGATAAAACTTTATCGTTTTACTTAATATTATGATGCCCATATCATTTTATCATTTTATCATTTCTCACTGTAAACCTATGACTTCTATTGTTCTTGCAATCCATCAATGAAGGATGCCATGAAAAGACTTCCTCTAGGAGTGGAACAAACTGTTTCTCTATTCATCCCAGATCCTTGAAATCAACCACATCATTATCCTCAACCAACTTTGGTTCACACGGTTTATCAATTTTTCTTACCTTTTGTGATCTTTTCTCTGAGTATTTAGGTGTGCTCTTGCTTTGTCTATCTATTTAGATATAATTTCCACATATTATGATTTTGGTTGATCTATTTGGGTATGCTCTTGCTTTGCTTTGTGAAATTCCATACAGCAACGTCAATTTGATGTTTTGGGTTCATATATGCTGTAGATTACATATCCTGATTTTACATTTGAAATTACATATTCTGATTTCACTGATAATTTATTAATTAATAATTAATATATTTGAGATTTTCAGTTTTCACCGCTACTAATAATATATTAGTGTGGCTACTTAATTCCATCGGTTATGTATCTTTAAAATCCGTTAAATAACTCTTAATAATTAGGCCATCCCAGTGTTACTGGCTTAATTTTTTGATCTACTTAATCATGATATCCATTTCATCATATTTAAATTTCCCAAGCCTTACATCTACCATAACCTTGAAGTTCCACACTTGAAGTTCTATCATCAGGTATGTTGGTTTCCTCACTTGAGGTTCTATCATAACCTTTTATCTATTATTGTGAATTTTACTTGAAGTTCTATCATCAGGTACGTTGGTTTCCTCACTTGAAGTTCTATCATAAGCTTTTATCTATTATTATGAATTTTGAATTGATATAAATATACTTCGTGTGCCAGCCTCCTCCTACATCCATCTATTTAGATTTAATTTAGACAGCCTATGATTTTGGTTGGTGAGATTTGGTTAACATCCAAAATCTTTAATTTATTCATTATTGATAAGAATGTGAAAAGAATTTTGAATTGAATTTTGGTCTGGATTCGGATCTACTTATAATTGAACTTCAAATCAAATGTATCTAATTTCTTATAAAAGAACATGTTATTTCTTTGTGTTGGAAAGAAATATTTACATTGCAACTGTTTACTTAGAAACAAGAAAGGTATGTTAGTTATATTTTTCTCTGTCTGGTATGATTTGAATTATATTCTTTTAACCATGATAGTCCAATTATTAAGCATAGGAGGTAGTATATTATTAAGCCATATAGTGGCTGTATATAGGCTATGAATGTGGCAAGTCTTTTTCAGCTTCCATGCAATCTTTTTTATTATCACTCTTGATGAAGTAGAGTATCACTAAATCTGCTCTCTAAGGAACTATATTGCATGAGCCACCTCTTCTCTTATTTTGATTTTACTGAAAACAAGTGTGTAGGTTGTCCATCTTAGATGTGCCTAAATGATCTGGATTTATAACCTATACTGCATTAGAAACTTGAAGAAGTAACTATGCTCTTTTGGAAGTTTTCCTGTATAGCTCGGACATGATAACAGTATTGATGCATTATTATGCTTAGTGCACAAGCAAGAGAGAATGAGAAGAGGGAGAGTGAGAGGCCAAAAAATTCATTTGGTATGTTTGCTAGGCCTCTATGGGCTTCCTTAGTATAAAGGCTTTCCATTCTGAAGATTCCTGTGTAGTTTTGATGGAAAGGAAATTTTTTCAATGATTGGTGAAATGTCCTGTATGCTCTTGACATGATAACTCCGTGATAGTGTAATTTTTTTTTGGTTAATGATAATTCTTAAAGTATTTTTCAAAACTAGAAAGTTAAGCATATCCTTTATTTTGCTAAAATAACAAGTTTATCATTTTCTATGCCATCATGGTCATCTGTGCCGTCTTCTTTTTTCATTCTTGTGTTGGTTTTTACCAAATCAGAATCCCAACAAAAATTTATTTTCTTAATTTCGTTTGCACATTATACCAAAAATAATATGGGATGTTAAGATTTAATGTCATTAGCATTTCAATTATTATTTTTGTCACACCTTTCTTTTTGACCATATAACCTTTCAAATAGAACCAATTGGAGCCACTTATCATGGCTTTAAGTTAGACAAATTCAAAATTCAAAATTCATTAAATTCGGGTTACTATTCATGTAACCCTAAACTAAGACCAAATTTTAAAAATCATAACTAATTCTAAAAAAATTAAAATAAGGTGGTTCTAAGTTCTATTTAAAGCTCTTAACATGATCTTCAGAGGAAAAATGCTTTTTAGTACCAAACCTTTATCAATCATTTCCAGAATTTACGCAAAATAGCACTGTTCATATGGTAAATTTCTAATTTTTCAGAATTTATGTCTAACTTTTAAGAGGCATAGCTTTCTATACAAAAGTCCAATTTTGATGAAATACTACTTGTTTTAAAGTTAAAAATATGATCTATAAATCTGTCACGTTTCATCGCAAAACTCATCCATTTGATCAGAATCACGTTGACATGAAATTTGGCCATTAAAAGGGTTATTTCATACTATTTTCATACTTTTTCTTGATTATTCTTTTCCCCTGGCAATTATTCCACACATATAAAATACATTCAGTCACAATATTATCCAGCATTTACAGTCATCAAAGTCATTAGTACAAATATCCAAACTTCATACATAAGCGGTATAAATTTACATAACAAATTTCACATAAAACCTTGAATATTTCGAGTGTTGGCCACTTCATTCCATCATAATCTCCTTGCCCTTCTCCTTGAATATTTCAAGTACTCCTAAATTGTTAATTAATGCCTACCAATTCATGCATAAATACATGCCACATTATTGACAATATTACATAAAATATCATTAGGTATCAAGATAACTCTATAACCCCCTTTTCTTTGACTTTTTAACGTAAATTTTTCATATTTGTTTTGACAAGTTTTAAGGGCTATTCCTACACTATTTTTCATGTAGAATTCAAATGCCAATTTGGTTTTATTAAATTCAAACCTCTCCCTATAAAACAACCCTTGGTCGAATGGTATATGTTAGATTTAAAGTTTTGATGATAACAATTCAAGTGTTTTATGTTTCTCTACGAATTTATTAA